CTATCGGAGTGGAATACACCAAGTTTTTTTAGGTATCCCCACAGGAAAAAATCCATCACCCTAGGGTCGGGAAATCGAGGAGGCCAGTCAATAGGTCCTCCTCTACCTATCCAACGGTTTGGATAAACGTTATTCAAGTTCTCCCGCACAGCAACGCTGAAATGAGGTGGTGCCCCATCGTGCAAGAAGTACATGTTTAGGTGGGTTTCAAGTGGTAAGGGCTGGTAAGAATAGTGCTAATGAAGTTTACATTATTTTGTTGCTGATCCAATAGCCAGTTTGCAAACTGCATTCTACAAGGAAAATCTTCAGAAATAAGTTTATGCACTTTTTGCATATGATAAGGATATAACAGCTGTTCTTAAAGAACATCATGCACTATTGTTTTCGACGTATTAAACTGTGCTGATAATTTTCGAGTGCTCGTTGAAGGAATGTCATCTACAGCATTTAAAATATTTTTCAAACTTACCTAAAATTATGAAGAAAGTTAATAATATTACTTTAATAACTGAAATTTTCCACCATTCTCTCTAAGACGTTGGTCAATTCGTTAAAATGTCTTCTGATTTCGAATAATAAGAAGAGAATGGTGAACAATTTCATTTATTAAAGTAATATTATTGACTTCCTTCATAATTTTAGGTACCTACGTTTGTAAAAAAAAGTTTTCTTTTCACGGATGAAGCAGGATTTACCAAAAAAAGGTAACACACATGTATGGGCTGATGAAAATCCTCATGCCACTATTGTTTCGCATTTTCAACATCAGTTCCAACCAATTAATACGTGGGCAGGAATCATTGGCAATATTTTGATTGGACCATTCGTATTGCTGGCACGATTGAATGGACAACTTTTTTGGAGTTTCTCCAAAACGCTTTTCGGGATTTAATAGAGCCCTTACCACTTAAAACCCGCCTAAACATGTACTTCTTGCACGATGGGGCACCACCTCATTTCAGCGTTGCTGTACGGGAGCACTTAATAACGTTTATCCAAACCGTTGGATAGGTAGAGGAGGACCTATTGACTGGCCTCCTCGATTTCCCGACCTTAGGCTGATGGATTTTTTCCTGTGGGGATACCTAAAAAACTTGGTGTATTCCATTCCGATAGAGGAACTTCTACAGATAATCACGTTTTATTGTGATATGATAAGAAACAATTCTGGGTTATTCTGGCGGGTATACGACGAATTGAGGACTGCTTTATTCAGCAGTCCTCAATTCGTCGTGCCCGCGAATGTATCAGAGTTCACGGAACCCATGTTGAACCCTCTTATAAAGTTTTTAATTAATTGTTTCGAATTATCGTCCTTCAATTTAAGGTTTGCAACAATACGTTATATTATTTTTTATGGCCCCTTTTATTAAAAAATAATACATAAATTTCTTTATTATTCTTTTTCTCGAAAACGGTTCATTTTATTGACAATAAACAAGAGTACCTTTATTTTAGTTTAAGGTTCAAGCTATGCAGATTTAGTTTTTTTAAGTCTTTGTCATACGGGGTGTTCAAAATTTAAGCATTAAAAAGTAAAACCCTGGTAAACAAAAAAAGCAAAACATGTTTCAATAACACTATTTTAAGAGGTCCTTACCAGGGTCCATCATATTAAATTTTTATTAAATTATATTTAGTACTTTAAAAGTTATTCAAGGAAAACCAATTTGCAGGGGAGTCCTTTCGGGGCCCATGTCTCCGTAAGGATGGCCAGTAGGAAAAATTTTTATAGGAACGTGTCATCTTATTTTTTCATGTTCTATCTGAATCCGAGAGATTTCCCACATTTTCCCGGACACCCTGTATACAGGGTGTCCTGAAGTTAATGCACCATACTTTAACAGCAGATTGTACGTGCAAAAATACGAAAAAAAGTCCCTATAAACATAGGTCAAGAAATGCCTCTTAAGGAAGCTACAGCCCCCAAAAGGAAAGCCCCTGAAGATGGTTTTTATTTAATATCTCCAAAACCGTTAAAAATATAAAAATGAAATTTGGGGAATTAATTAAACTTTTTATGACCAATAAGACGTAACAATAACAATTTAAAATTTTTTATGTGGTTTGGGTCAGATTGATAGGAAGTAGGGTTAAAACCACCTTAACTTTTTTGTACGTATCTTGTACCAGAATTTGGTGTCAGATTATAAAATTTTAGAGTTTTGCACATAAAAAAGGTCATCTTGTTGAACTTCGATAACATACACCGTTTTCGCATAAAATCGATTTGAAAATTATTTTACATGGCATAAAAATTCACAATTAAATCACAACCATAGAAATGGACTCGCGTGGTCCTTGGAATACGGCTGCCATGTTTAGGAAAAAATAGAATAATTTAAGACAGGTGACAGTTTCATGTAGTAAGTGACAGGGTGTTTTTACTTTTTAATTTATATTAGATAAAAACCATCTTCAGGGGCTCCCTTTTTGGGGGCTGTAGCTCCCTTAGGAGGCATTTCTCGACCTATATTTATAGGGACTTTTTTCTTATTTTTGCACGTAGAATCTGCTGTTAAAGTATGGTGCACTAATTTCAGGACACCCTGTATATATATTATGTATACATAAAGTTTATGTTTTTATTAAAAAAGGATTTTTGGCTAACATATAATTTTTAAAATTAAATCAAATAATATTTAAATTAAATATTATTTAATTTAATTTAAAAAATTGTTTCTAATGTATTTATTTATATAAATATATACATAACAAATAAACTAAGATTTTTTGCTTTTGAAACTTAAAGAGTCCAAAAATTCGAACTAAGGCATAAAAATTTATAAGGCCATCAATTTTGATCCAATTTCACAAAACCGGGTTTGACTATGCTATAATAACTTTCATGTCATGAAATGTCAAAAATTTGTGTTATGTTATATTATTATTAGGTTATATCACAGACCTGTCTGTCAGGTCTGTGGGTTATATTATTATTTCTACTTCCATTCTTTAATTTATTTCGTCGTTGCAGAAAATATAATTTTAACATTTTATTATTGAAAATTTAAAAAAATATATATTAAAAACTTAACTACCTCTTTTCTGAGAGTTAACCCATGCACAAAAATTATTGGTATTAATTAAAATGCTTTCCTTAGGCACAATCTGACATAGAATGGAAATTTGGTTTAAGCAAGTTGATACGAAATATGCACAGAACAACGACTGCCCCTAGCCCAATCAACTTAATAACTACGTGGTTGTTCTACTTAGTTAATATTTGTAAAAAGAGAGGTAAGAAAATTAAAACAACATAAGCATTTCAGATACCCGTAACTCCAATTCGTATTAGCAAAGCGTTACTCACAGAAATCCTTATAGAAACATGTAAATATTATAATTTCGTTTATATAATTTCAAACCAACACAGCAACAACAAAAAGTTGTGTCATAGTTTAGGTCCCTTAAAGCAGCGTTTTCCGTAGTACACGTACTTCCAGGGGTAAAATGGTCAAATGGATAAATTACTGAATTAGTTAATGATTCTATTTCATCATCAAATACTATTTCATACGAGGATAATTTGGGTGTATCAATAAGAGCGCATAATTTGAAATCTTAGATTTCAAAGTTTAATAAAACATGGTTTTAAGTATTAAAGCATTGAAATATTTATTGATTTATAAAGTACACATTTGGAAATTATGTATAAAATAACACATCTGGTAAATGGCCACCACGGCTTAACTGGCACACGCGTACTCTTTTGGCAAAATTTGCATTAACATTAACGAAATACCGCTACATGTATTCAATAATTATTGAATACATGTAGCGGTATTTCGTTGAAAGAGCGTCTAATTTCTGCTTTTAAGACTTCGGTGGTGGCGTGCTTGTTGGCATAAACCTGTAACTTCAAATAACCCCACAGCCAAACGTCCAAGGGTGTTAAATAGTGGTGAAAATGGGCCTCATCACTGAAAATGATTTTGTCGCAAAATCGGCTTTCACTTCTTGCTGCTCAAGGATCCAATTGGTGAACTCTCTTCATGGTCTTTTGGCTGGAGTTGTTGAGTCAATTGGACTTTGTAGGCATGAAGATGCAAATCTTTAGTAAGAATTCGCTGAAGAGTGGCTTTGGTAATCTCCAATTCTTGTTCACGATGGCGAATCGACGTCTCTGGACTCTCGGCCACACTCTCGCGAACTTCTTATTATTCTTTTCACAGTAGATAAATTAGGAACATTATTTCGACCAAATATTGGATGCACTTTACGAATCGTGGCAATCAAACATTCATCATTTTGATAATAATGTTTAACAATGAGGATGGGTTGCAGGGATGCCAGAATCTGTCAAAAAAATCCGCCAGATTTTGTTTAAATGCACCTTTATTACAAAAATGACACAATTAACAATAATGAATAACGTCAAATTGACAATTTGCGTTGTATCAATGTGTCATTTAAGTGATTATGGTGGATTCAAACAAAATCTAGCGGATTTTTTTGACAGATTCTGGCATCCCTGATGGGTTGTTCTATCGTGTAATGCTCCATATTTACTAACCGCCATCTGTCTCCTATCAATCTGTCATGTCATTAATCATGTGACATCATGGATGCCAAACTGACGCGAAATTCAAATCTCGCGCTCTTATTTATACACCCTAGCATCTTCAGATCGTATACTATCGTAAGAAAAAATAAAATTAATTGAACTAAAAACGAATTCTTCACTTAGGGTAGAATTTAAAAAGATAGCCATTTTCTTATTCAGGTCTGACTTAAATGAAGAATATTTTGAACTATTAAATGCTACATAATGGGGGGGGGTTATGGGACGTAGAGCAGTTATGCAGTTATTATGCAAGTAAAAAAAGATTGGAAAATACTGCCCTAAAAGAATAATATACCTAAATTTGTTAACTCCTTGCTATGGGATTTTGTTAACATTATCTTGAAATTTTACAAGGCACATTTTTAACGGCCTTTTTACAATAGATACTACGAGTATAAGAAAAATATAAATTTGTTGTACTCGTTTAATAATGAACTATTTTTTAGTAAAAGCAAAGAAAAGGCAAAGTTTGGTTCATCTTATGGGTAGCTTCCAGAAGGCTGAACAACTAAGTCCCAGATCTAAGGCGGGTGCCAAATGGCTATCAAAAGTTAAAAAAGGAAGACAAATAGCCCCTAAAGAATCTGTAGCCTTATCAGTATCTCATCTAAGTCCTCTTGGCTCCCAACTGAGTTTTACTACTACTACAATGCGTATAGAACATGTAACTGATTGGGAATTGATTGCTAAGAAATACAGAGCTCTTATGGGCCAAGTTGATGAAGAAAGAAAGGATCGACCTGAAAATGAGAACACTGAAGATGAAGAAGAAGAAGCCACGCAAATGCCAAATAATTTGCAAAATGCTTCTTCAATGGGTTAAACATAATAATTTTAATTTTATTAAATTTATTTTTTTGTAGTATTTTAAAAGTAAAACATTTTTTTATTTATTCTTTAATAGTTTTTATACATTAATAAAAATATAAATTTTAGAATTTGCACTACATGAGTTTATACCATTTATTATAGAATTTAAATATATTTTTAATACAATTTTAAGTTTGTTTTTATAAACACATCAAAACCAGCATTTAGATGCTTTACAAAGTTCAGACGATTTTTGTTAATAATAAAAAATAATACAATGAAAGTTCCAGTCGTAATCAATTGCGTTAAAAGGCTTTATTTATATATGTACATTGATAAAATTGTCCCGGTTTATATAAGTTTAAAAATCAGAAAACTATACCAAATTTTGATTTTCATAGTCTAAAATTTGAATCTTTCCTTGGTGTGTAACTTTGTGTATTGAATGAATTTTAAAACTACGATCCTATTTATCGTATTAATTTTGTTAAAGTTGACATAAATGTTGTAATTCTTATATTATGTTATATTTTTAAATACTATGATTTCGATTTCAATGGGGTAAAATTTGGGTTAAACCTTGCAACCTTTGTATATTGAATGTATTTTAAAACTACAAACTTACTAGTCGTATTAATTTTTTTTAATACCCGTTGTAATTTTTAATATAAAATGCTTAAGCATACAAAATCATAGTTTTTATATTAAAAATTACAACGGGTATTAAAAAAAATTAATACGACTAGTAAGTTTGTAGTTTTAAAATACATTCAATATACAAAGGTTGCAAGGTTTAACCCAAATTTTACCCCATTAAAATCGAAATAATTATTATGTTACTTTATCAAAAAGCTTATTTAAATCCCTAATATAAATGTATGTGTTTATGTACAACTCGACAAATCTAGCTAGATACTTTAAAAAGTGTGCGCAAAACTCGGAAAAAAGAGATGCTTCATACGGCCGCACAGAGGACTAATAAAGGTTTAAATATCAACATTATTAAAGTTACTTAAGAGTAAAAAATAGTAAATTTTTGATTTATTTATACAATTAGAATAGACTTATATGTATGTTATATCGAGGACAATACGCAGTTTGATGGAAATATTCCATTGCTGACTTTTATTTTGTATAGAGGCTTATTGTTTTTATTATTATTCTATTTGTGTAATAACAAATTTCAATAGAACCTTTATTTTAAGATTGCAGTTCCATGTTAGTTTAATCCTTGAATTTAATATAGTTTCTAAAACATATAAATAGGACTGTCTAGTTTCATTCTGTATTCATTATATTTTATATCCTATTAAGTTAACTTCAATTTAATTTCTTGTAGAATAGTTATTTAATTTTAAATAAAGTAAATGTTGTTTTTTTAAAGAGTGCTTTTTAATCTATCACATCTAACAAATTGGCATAGTCGGTAGGATGGTCCAACAGCATTTTTGAAAAATTTCGAAAAATTTGAAGAAAGAACAACACTTTCGCTGTTGTATTTCCAATACTTTGTGGATCATCAAGAACTATGCAACAATTGTAAGTCCTTTTGTACTTTTCTTTTACAAATATTTTGTAATCAATCTGCTTAATTTGTGTTTTTATTTATTTAATTAATTAATTACAATGTCTGTACACGGTAATGAACCTGATAACGGTATTGCTGGTGCCAATGCCAATGTTAATCCTAATATTGCTGCGTTAGGATTTAAATTATCTGAATTATTTTGTTTGATTCCAGAGTATGACGGAGACAAAATACTGTTAAATTCGTTTTTAAATTCTTGCGAAACAGCTTTGGATATTGCAAACGATAATAAAAAAGGTTTTGTTTTAGTAAATATTAAAAATAAACTGCGTTGTAGGGCTTCTCAGATAATAAATTCAAGAAACCTTAACACTTTCAATGAAATTCAAGTTTTGCTTCAAACACATTTTGGCGATTCGCGTGACTTAAATTCTTTAATAAATGATCTTCATCGAATGAGACAGTCGTAAAATATCTATTAATCCTTTTTATTTATATAACTATATTTATTAGCTATTTTTATGCTTATTGTGTAATTACTAAATTCGTAAATTTCCTCAATAATAATTCATTGACCGGACTGCGATCCGAATTGCAGAATTGCAATTATTATGTTAATTAGATATAGGTTTCAATTGTGATATATAGTCTATAAGTTACTTTTGTACGATAATCATCAAAACCCAATAAAAATAGTAAAACGTAAGAAACTAATTATTTACTCAAAGTCACCCAACATTACATGGCAATCCTGCCAGTTCGAAAGAAGATAAACAAAAAATTCTAATAGTCCGTATAAAAATTAAAAGAGATGTGCAGATCAAAAATAGATAAAGACGAAATTATTATAAGCCAGGCTGGTAACAGTGGTGGAGTTTTACATTCCCTGAGTAACAGCAAATTCAGCATCTATGAGGTGCTAATCATAATAGCAGTCCTAATAATCATGTTCATCGTGGGACTTTACATAAGAAGGCGATCAAAAAGGTACATGGACAAGAGGATCAGGCAAGAGGTTCTTCGCAGCAGAGAAGTCCTTAACGCAGAGCCGAAGAGTAATTTGTAAGGTACGTGGAGCAAGTAGGTAACAGTTGTGTGGTATTTGAAAACTTTTCGTGTGTTAAGTATTATTATTTATTTTGTTTGTTAATTATTAAGTTAGATTTAATATTTTTTTTATTATTTTATAAGTTTTATATCAATTAAAGTTAGATTGGGTTGGAGTTAAATGAATAAGTTAGAGGATTTCAATTACATTTATAAGGAACTGGAAGTATTTTTAAGAAATATTAAAAAATAATATGACGATAGGCGTCAAAATTTAACGGTAATTGACAAAAATCTTGCTAAGTTCACGCGAATATCAAATGAATTTGAATTATTATTAGAAAAGGCAAAAATATCTGAAGACAAATTATTAAATGATTTAATAAGTAGAATAAAAAATTTAAAAAGCAATATAAACGAAATTATTAAAGATAGGTTAGCAGTAGCAAAAAGTAAAGAAAGTTTAGGCGGGTCAGATAATAATAATAAGCTTTGTAAATTTATTTAAAATGGGAGAAAAAATTGATCTTAAGGTAGCCGCAGGGTTATTACCCCTTATGGACAATAGCGAAACCTGCACACAACAATTAATTAACGGTATTGAATTATATTCTGAATTATTAAATGAGGAGGTTAAAGTAATGTTAATTAAGTACGTTCTAAAAACAAAACGTACAGCGTCAGCAAGGTTAAGATTAAAGTCGGAATATAGGTCAACCGAGGCTCTTGTTTGTGATATAAAATTACATTTTATATCTAAAAAATCTGCTGCAGCACTTTCTATAGAGTTGCATAATGCAATTACAAAAATCTGTATACAGATTTATAGATGACTATAGAAATATAGATGACTTTATTAAAACTATTGAGGAATTAATGGTTAATTTAACATTATCTTTGGCTGATGGAAAAGATGACGTAGCAAAGACACTTACCAATACAAACGAAAACATTGCTAAAAACGCTTTTGCTAACGGGCTACGCGATAGTGATTTAAAATTTCTTATTAAGACGCGTAATTTTGATTCATTATCAGACGCGATAGCTGCGGCCAAAGATGAAGATAGTGCTAAACGTTCATCTGCGTCAATATTTAGTATGCGGAAGTATAACAACTTTAGGGATTCCAATTTTAGACAACATAACAACACACTTAAAGATGCAAAGATCCAACTATAATAAAACTAAAACCTTTTATAATGGGCATCGCAATAATATTCATAGGTCGTTCCAAAACCGGGGTCGCGGAAACAATTCCCGTGGACCACAAAAGGGATATTTTTTAAACGACCCTTAAAATTCCCAAAACAGCGACAAGACCATTTTTTCGAGCCCCCCAGTAATAATCATGTAAATTTTAATATTAATGGATTAAACTTTGTCCGAGTGGGATATGGAATGAAAGATTTAGTATTTTTATAAGACGCAGGTGAATCTATTAGTGTAATTTTTCCTGGCTCTCTAAATCAGAATGAATGTATAGATTTTAAGAAAAATATAAGGATAAATGGTATTGCAGGTTCAGCCTTTTCAAAAGGTGCAGTAAATATTAATTTTAAATTAGGAGAAACAATTGTAAATCATGAATTTTTAATAGTCGATGAGTTCGATTCTAGTATACAAGGCGTAATCGGAGCAGACTTCTTTGAAAAATTTTATGCAGTAATCGATTTTGAAAAATATATTTTCTCATTTTGGAACAAAAATGTTAAATTTTCTCTACCTCTTGATTTAAAATATAATTATTACACATTTTTACCCCCTAGATGTGAAGTGTGACGAACAAATGAAATGTATAAATGCGTTGTCTTGCCACAAGAAGTTTGCGAGGGAGTCTTCTTAGCTGGTACGAAAGAGAAATTCAAGTAAAAAACTTTACTACAAAAACAGAACTTTTAAATAAATTTGAAATTAGGAATTTTAATACTACCAGCAAATCAGAACCATAAACACGGGTGACTTTGCACCCCGCGGGTGACTTTAGCCCTTTTGTGAAAAATCTTTTCGCGCTCGATAAAATTAACATTTATAATTTGTTGGTCTAAACCTGTCAATTGAGCGATTCTATTGAGTTTATATTACAGGAAAATCAGTGTTTTAAAAAAATATATGGGGTTTATTACACTTTAAAATTGTATATATTGCATCAGTGCAAAACTCTTAAAAATACACGTGTTTTAATTTCTATATTATGCGCAATTCTTTGGAATGATGATCCTTGGTTAACTACAGGTCGATTGTAACCTCAACTCGAGGGCTATGGCGAACGGCAGCTTTACAGTGGTGAGATGGGTCGATGGGCTAATGTTGTTCCTCAATACTTACGTGCATAACTCCAAAAGAAAACAAAAAAATAAAAATGGGCGCCAGTGTCTTATTTGGGCCAGTTGGTAAAGTCCCCATAAGCCAGACACAAACTTAATGGGCATAAGGGCAAT